AGAGTGTGAAAGTACCGGCAAGCCCACTCGGAGGAGTCCAGGCTTTCTCTCAGGAAGGAACAAATCCAATAAAATTAGCAACTTTATTTCTGGCCGCAGTTGAATAAAGCTTCTAAATCATGCGATGGAGCAGCCCAGTCTCTCTTAACTCGCTACTTGAGAGCCATTCTGTGAAGCCTTTTCCAGAGAACACACGCCCACCACGGGGCTCGCAAACTCCTTTTCATAAGGCAGTTCCCAGACAGAGTTCTTGCTCTTAAGAAGTCTACAGGTATAGTTGAGGGGCAAATCACTAACAACAGGGACATAGAGGTGTCTGTGGTGGACACCGCAATGTGTGGTCCAGGTCCTAGTGTGAGAGAAAAACTGTCTCACATCAAGTCACACCTCTGTCACTGATGGGTGCTGAAATAAAGACGCAGTCCTGGCCCTACAAAGGCCTCTGACGCCGGCACCCTCCTTGGGGCTGCTGTGGGTCTGAAGGACAGCACGACCACCTCTTCCTTCACCCACACTGCCTTCTCTTCCTGGCCACAGATCTCAGCCCCAAGATTCTCCCCAACCCACTGCTTGCCTGGCTGTGGCCACCTTACCAATATGCTCTGCTGGCATGGCTATTCTAGATCATCCCCTGGCTCCAGGATGGCTTTGGACCGAGCGAACTGTTCCATTGTCTTCCAGAGCCGCCGCCAAGTCCATTCTGACTCACAGTGGCCCTACAGAAGGCTTGAAATGCTCACGGGAACAGAGGCTCGTTCGCCCTCGGAGAGGCTGGAGGGTTGAGACAGCTGAGGCCCAGTGTCTACCCCACGGGGCCACCGGGGTTTCCCATCGTCTCCCTAAGGCACAGCCATCGACCCTCCCACTCAGTGTGTCAACAACGTCTTAGGACTTTGTGTTAGAATGAGAATGACTGTTAAGCTTATGTCACCGAAAAGTTTTCCTCTGAGCCCGCCGTTGACCAGCGGTGCGATTCTCGCCTAATACTTTATCTTCCGAGGGTTTCCACATCTACAAAGTAGGAGTTTGAAGGCTATCCATCCTACCTCGGACACCCACAAGTCCTCGGAGCTATTAGTAGACTCTCCGTACATCATCAAGCACACCACGCGGCGGTCACTATGAATTCGGGAGGGAGGGTCTAGCTCTGCCTTACCTGGATCCTGAACGCATTTACTTCTGTCTTTGGACAGTACCGTTGATCTTTGAACAAATGCTGCCAAGACCATTGCTCTACTTTCCACCTTCACCTCTTGCTCTTCTTGACACAATATACAGGTAACAAATTGTCTCTGTTCGGGGACTCGGGTCTGTGCCGGGCCCAGTGCTGTAAGTACCAAATCAGACACCATCGGGCTGCAATGAAGAGACAGAATGAGTGCGTTGAAGGCATCACTTGTTTACGACACATCAGCCACAAAACAGCAGTTCCCAGGTATGCGTAGACTGACACACATGGTTTTATTGATTTGAGCTGTAAAAAGTCTCTATGTCTCAAAACCATCTCTTTTAAACCTCACCGCCATCCAACACGGAACACAGAAGCCACACTCCTTGAACTGATGCCGGTGGACCCAAGGGTCTTTTCTGCACAGGAGCCTAAGCAGACATAGGAACGACCTGTCTGTGGTCGGCGCGATACTCACACACATGTACTTGAAAATCTTAGATTTCTAAGATTATTTCTTCCAAGCAGCAGTCGCATTTACCTAGCAATGCTACTAAATTCCATGAGGATTAAAGGCAGATTTATAACAAAAAAAGCAAAAACCCTCGCTGCCCCCCCCCAGGTCAATGACGGGAACCGACGGGCGTGTCACCTGCTCTCCGAGGCCGCGGAGGTGGACGCATCCAGCTCGAGGGTCTGCTGGAAGAGCTCCCTGTTCTCGTCGATGAAGTGCCGCTGCATCTCGGACATCTGGGCCATGATCTTTTCCCGGCGCAGCCTGGCAATCTCAGCTTTCCGCTTCCTCTCGGCCTTGTCTTTGTCGCGCAAACTCTGAAATGAGGCCTTCACTCAATCAGGCCGCTAGACGCTAACCACACCACATCTCCTCCACTCAATAGACGCACTTACGCTAGGCTTTAATTAAAAACGATTCAACAGTTTTACCCTTGATAACCAAAGACTTCTTCGTCAACCTAACCTGTTAGAGGAGGAGGTGGGCCGACAAAAGCACTGCGACTC